ACAATATGAAAGAGAAGTGTTTAAACGTATTTAGTAAGCACTTAGTAAGGTCAACAATAAAAACCAAAAACAAAACTCGGTAAGCTTTTTAAAAAATGTGTTAGGTAGTCATAATCAATTTTTTAAATTTACAATTATTAATATTTATAAAAATATTAGCTTTAAGAAATAAAGCTCATCATTCATTGAAAACTCAAACGCTGGATATATTAACAAAGGAATAAATCACCTTAGTTGATCTTTCAAATATGACAGACTCCACTTAAAGTACAACTAAACACAGCATTTCATCAAGAAGCAGATTTTATGGATACCAAATTCTAAACCTTTCTAAAGCTTTAATGATTTTAATTTTTTAAGTGTCTAAAATAGACTACCTTTGCCCTAGCTGGTTTGGCTCAGTGGATAGAGCGTTGGCCTGAGGACTGAAGGGTCCCAGGTTTGATTCAGTCAAGGGCACGTGTCTGGGTTGTGGGATTGATCCCCAGTGCGGGGTGTGCAGGAGGCAGCCGATCAATGATTCTTCCTCATCACTGATGTTTCTATCTCTCTCTCCTTCTCCCTTCCTCTCTGAAATCAATAAAAATATATTTAAAAAAAAATAAAATAGACGGCCTTTTTGTTTTTTAAAGAACCCAATAAATAAATACCCGTAACTTACTTTCTTCCTGATAGACAAAAATAATAAAAAATAATCAACAGTGCCTGCTAAGATTATTTTAAAACTTTTTAATGAGGTATTTTTAGTTCATTTTTAAAAATTTACCAGTGTCTCAATTTTCTTTCCAAGTTGTTTTCCAGGACCATAATGAACTCTTACTTTTTTATTTCATTGCTATCTTATTTCATTGATAATTTTATTAAAATATGAAAAATTCTGCCCCAAACCACTTCATTACACAAAACACAAACTTCCAAGATACTTGGCAATGCCTAGCTGATGTGGCTCATGGTTTGATTCCCTCTCAGGCACATGACCAGGTTGCAGGCTCCATCCCCGGTGTAGTGTAAGGAGCATGCAAGAGGCAGCCAATCAATGATTCTCTCTCATCATTGCTGTTTCTATCTCCCTTCCTCTATGAAATCAATAAAAAATATATTTTAAAAAAAGATACTTGGACATGATTAATTTATGTATGCAAAATATTCTGTGCATATGCTATATATAAATCATAGTAAATAAAATATGAAAAAGTAGAAGCATAATCCTTTACCTCACTACAACTTAATCCTCTTGCATTCATTATACTAAACGTGCCTAATCTTGAAATTCCCCCTCACCTTGAGCTTTCACAGAGAGCTCAAATACTTTCATAATAATGATGTAATGTGATGTGGTGTAAAGAGCCAGGTAACAGGGTGTCTCCAAAACCTCAGTTTTCTCTCTTGTAAAATATAGCTGTACTGTATCTCCTCTATTTAAATAGGCTGTTAGGGACCTGCTCAATGACTTATAACAGCAAAAACCTGTTAACATCCTAATATGAACCAACATTCCAAACAATGAAATACTATATGACCCTTAAAAAAAAGCTATAGATTTATAAGTGTTCATTTAGAAGGATGTCCCAGATAGCCTGTTAAAACAAAAATGCAAAATGCATAGTATGGCCCAATTTAAGACAGATATACATATATGTACAGAAATATTCTAGGACACACAAGAAACTTCAAACGATCATCAGTAGGAAATAGGGTAACTTTTTAAAACCTCATAGTCTTTTATAATAATTGGAAAAAAATAATGAACATGTATTATTTTAGTGAATTTTTAAAAAACCTAAAAGTAAAGATCTACTGATTCAGGTCATATAATTAGAAAAAACCTGGGTTCAAATACTGGTTTTGCTATTTACTGTATGTGATGTTGTTAAGCTACTTAATTTTTCCATTTGTGAAAAGGAGTTAATAGTACTAACCTCACACAACTGTCTGGAAGGTGAAGAAAACCATACATGTAAGACACTCAGCTTAGCTTATTTTAAGAGGACAACTATTACCAGCTATAACTATGATTATTAAGAATGTTATTATAAACTCCATAGCCGAACCGGTTTGGCTCAGTGGATAGAGTGTCGGCCTGCGGACTGAAGGGTCCCAGGTTCGATTCCGGTCAAGGGCATGTACCTGGGTTGTGAGCACATCCCCAGTGGGAGATGTGCAGAAGGCAGCTGATCGATGTTTCTCTCTCATTGATGTTTCTAACTCTCTATCTCTCTTCCTTCCTCTCTGTAAAAAATCAATAAAGTATATTTAAAAATAAATAAATAAACTCCATAAACTGAGAGTATTTAGAATCAGATTTGACAAATCACTCAAGGATGATCAATCTCAAAGACAACCAATTTCCTTTAACCAAAACTCAAAACTCATTCAACCGGGTCCACATAAGAGCATAAGGTTAAAAAAAAAAAAAATAAAAAAAAAAAAAAAAAAAAAAAAAAGCTCTCACAGCCCTGGCCAGTTGCTCAGTGGTCAAAGCGTTGGCCTATGCACCAAAGGGTCACACGTTCAATTCCCGGGGGTCACAGGTTCTTGATTCCTGGCCCTGTTTGGGGCTCCTGGGGGAGGCAACCAATCAATATCTGTCTGTCTGTCTCTCCAGCCCTCCCTCCCTTCCATTCTCTCTAAAAAGCAACGGAAAAAATATCCTTGGGTGAGGATTTAAAAAAAAAAAAGCTCTCACAGGTAGCAGGTGGGCTGATGGATATGGTAATCAGAGTAAAGTTTGGGTTTTAATTAAGTATCATCTAACTAGAATAGTCTTCTTCACTATACGGATACCTATGCAAGATACCAGACTACTTATGACAACTGGGCAAGGGACCCTGATCTTTACAAAATGCTGTATACATAGGAATACACTTTATTTTTAGTAATTCAAGCTGCCAACCTGAGTTGTTTATTTTAATATACAATAATATTTCAGTTTCCTAAAAATGTATGGCACTAATAGTTCATGCACATAATTTGCAATTTAATTACAAATAACATGTCAGCCCTGACCGGTTTGGCTCAGTGGATAGAGCGTCAGGCTGGGGACTGAAGGGTCCCAGGTTCGATTCCGGTCAAGGGCATGTACCTTGGTTGCGGGCACATCCCCAGTAGGGAGTGTGCAGGAGGCAGCTGATGGATGTTTCTCTCTCATCAATGTTTCTAACTCTCTATC